GGAGCTGGAAGGAGTGAAATCTAGGAGGCAAGATGAAAATTTAACCTCCATTCTAGGAACGCGTGAGAAAAAGCTGCAGCAAAGATAATCATGAAGGGCTTTCTGAGATTTAAGTATATGGAAGCACAAATAAATTGGAATAGCAGTGGTGAAGACTTCAAATCCCTTCATGCACTAAAGCTGAGATCTCTAAGCTGAAATCCATTTACAGGGTTCAGAGTCCCCTTGAAATATCCAGAAAATATTCATAGCTGGACATACATGTGCAGTTTTCTGGGAGGAAAGTTCATAGCTTTCATCTGTTTCTCAAAGTAGTTTGTGATCCAAAAAAGATGTATGACCACTGGCCTGAGTGAAGTTCATATAGGCTTGATCATTTGGTTGTTACATTCATGAGACATATTTCCCTAACATTTGACCTCATAAAAAAAACACAGGTAGTAAGTAGTGAAATCATAGCATTTCCACATGTTGCTGTTCTTCATATCTAAAGAGGAACCACTTGGCCCTGAGAGCCACCTACCTTCAGTGTAGCCACCAGAGACTAAGGCCTGATCAGCAGGCCATTGCCCGCTTTGCTGACACTGTATTCTCAGGACTGCCCTGGGTGTGTGGCTGCACCTCTCTTTTTTTAGTCCAGTGTTGTTTATATCATGGATACCAAACTTTATCCATGGAAAGGGTTTTTAAACTCCTATTTGCAAAGGGGTGCCAGACTGACAGGGTTTTTCACAGTTCATGTAAAAATGAGAAGAACAAGGAAAATAAAATGAATTTTCTTTCACAAAGCTAAATCTATTCAATTTAAGGAACTATCCTTTATTCTGATAATACAAAAGATTATTCCCTTATGAATTATTTGATGTTAAACAAAATATGTGTTGATGGTGATATCTGATGGTGGTTTGTTCTTTTGTTTTTATTCTACTTGATCTATGTTGGTCTCCAACTAAAAAAAAAAAATCTAGCCCATGAAATCAAAATTGTAGGAACTGGTTTCTGGTCTACTCAACAGTAAGGCATCTAGCCTGCAAGTGAATGCCACAATCAGATCCAGTGGTTGTTTTTCCACTGACTACTCACGTGACTACTCATGCCTACTGACTCCTCAGGAGACTGATTTTCCGTGGTGGAGTTGGAACTAAAATAGGCACAACTGATTTGTTTGTTTATTTGTTAAATGGACACCTGGCTTAGACAATTAATTAGGATAGCATCAGAACTTAGCAGTTTCATCTTTAACTCAGAATGTGCACAGCATCACATTTGGTAACTGCTTGTTGAAATAAAAATTGACTCACTTTGTTCAAGGCACATAGGAACCCCTACACAATTGCCTCCTGCCCACTGTGAATCACATTCAGCCAACTGCCACCCAGCACAAGGCTACTCACTTTCTGTGAGGGAAAAGTAGCTCTTATAAAGGGATGCAGTGTTAGAGCAAGAATCTACTTCTGAGAGTCTCAGTCTCAATTTTAGTAATGACTTATTCTGTAACCTGACATGGTCACTCAAGTGGACTTTCTATCACTCAAGTGGACTTTCTACCCTACTTGCAGGGAATGAAAAAGTGACAAACAATGTAGTTGCTTAATAGTGTTAGTATAAGGACATGAGGCGGAGTTAGTCATGTAGGCACTATTCAGGAACAGAAATTTCTTAACCTAACTGTGGACTTCAAAAATTATGAAGCTGAAACATTTTAATCTTAGGATGAACCCATTATTTAACTTAAGGTACTCTTGAGAATAAATATAATTACTTCATTGATGTATTAATACTAGAGTATTAAGACATTTTGGTGTTTGAAAAATTTATGTGCTTTCATAATTTATCAGTTGGATAGTATCTATTACAGTTAAAGCCAATCTATTAAATAATCTTTATATAAAATGGTTCCATAGTAAAACTATTAAAATAAATGTCTTGAACAGAAATTTATAAAGGAACATAAACTATTATTAAATTCATCTTCAAGAATAATTCTCTACAAGAAATATTTTGTATGACCTTTGCTTTTGTAACCTTGTCAAGGTTACAGGGTTACCTGGACAAGTCAGATATCTCTCTACTCTTCAACTCTATAAATAAGAATAGAAGCTACCTCAAAGGATTAAATATGGTAATACATGCATGTAAGCAGAGCAGGACACACAACAATCATTTCATAAACTTTAGCTAATATTATATTCTTTGTTATATTATTATTATTGGCAAACTTGAGGTATCAGTTGGAGAATACTTTAACAACAAGAAAAAGAAGCTCTGAACAATCTTACATTGCTTTGTTCTACCATTAAGTTGCAAGTTTCTCTCAATTCATCTCTATCATATCTTCCTAAGAAAACAGCAGAATATAAATAAGTTCAATCATTCTCCATTGCATACCTTATAAGACTCTCAGGAAAACCTATCTGATCTCCAGCAAATCTATACCAACAAATGCATCGTGCACAAATGCATGTGTGTGCACACTTACACAGAGACACGTGTACATGCACACACACAGACACAAACACAAAACAGTCATTTTGAGTGCGGTTCTCTAGGAATTTCAATAAACATAAGGCGCGTTCTTTAGACTAAATTATATTTTATCACAAACAGTGCTATAAACAATAGGAATGTTGCTTAAAAGCATAAGCCTAGAAGACAGGCCATGTGGTTTCAAGTTTCAGCTCTACAATGTACAGTTATTGATCTTTTCTAATCCTTGGCATCCTTGTCTGTAACACCTGCCTTATAGGAGAAAGGCTGTCGTTAAATGAGATACTGCACATAAAACACTCAGCGCAGAGCCTGGCACCTTGTTCATGAAATTGTAGCTTTTATTACTCTTCATTACAGATGTTGTAATGTTCATCTATAAAAGTTCTATTGGATCCTTTTCATAATTTCTATTTCTCTCTTCATCACACTTGGGATTTTCTCTAAATTTTTGAGTACATAGAGAATACAGTAAGTGTTTGAAGTCCTCGTCTGTTAGTTCCCTCATCTTTGTCATTTCCCAGTCTTTTTACCAACTGATTTTCTTCTAGTTAGGGTTCATAACTTGCTTTTTTGCACAACTGGTAAACTTCTATTTTTTTTTTTTGGCACAACTAGTAAACTTGTATTACATCATAACTTTTGTCATTGATCACTGGATATTCCACTATTCCTTTAATTAGCATTGGATTTTGATCTGCCAAGCAATTAAGTTACTTGGAATAGGTTGGGTCTTTTCAAAGCTTGCTTTTAAACTTTGTTAGGGTGAACTCAGAGAGACTTTGAGCCACAGCTCATTTAGCCCCTTGCTGAGGCAATACCAACAGGGGATTCTACTCGATTCTACCTGTGTTATGAGTTCTTTCCACCCTGTTGGGAACACAAACTTAAATATTAGCACCCACCCTCTCTAATACTCTATTCTACAAATTCCCGGTGTCTTGGCCTCTCTAAACACCAATTCTGTTTCCTTCATTCAGTCAGAACAACAACACTGGATTGCTCCTCCCTGAGTTCAGCTTGGAAACTCTTTGGTCATTGAACTGGTGCAATCATGGGACTCACCTTGTTTGCTTCTCTTCTCTCAGGGATGAGAGTCCTGTGCTTCCTGCTGTCCAATGTCTAAAAATTGCCATTTCACATTTTTTTGTCCAGTTTTCTAGTTGCTCAGGGTGGGAGGGTAAATCCAGTCCACATTATTCCATCTTAGCCAGAAGTTGAAGTCTTTGGCTATTATTATATCTGAAAGCCAGTCTTAGGTATAAAGCAGTCCTCAACTGTAAGTCAGAGTAAAAGGAGTAGCAAATGTGATACATTACAGACTGTGCAGGTTAATGTATATGGTTATAGGATGTTATTAAATACATGTATCAATTTAAGCATGCACCATTTTATTTTTCACTTCTGAAAACATTTGGCTTTTGAATTCTTGACACCAGGCCAATGTTTATGAAAAGCCACAAATTAGGGAGCTTTTGTATAATTTGAAATCCTGTTAAAGATATGATTAAGGCCTTTGTGAATGACTTGGCAAATTAAAATTTTCCCTAAAAGAAAAAAAAATTGATTTTCTTTTTTTGTTTTTTCCTGAGGCATGCAATCCTCTGAATATTGAAAATTCGATTACTCTTACATAAATATATTACAACTGTAATTTAACTAACCTATGAAGCTGAAGTATTAAGATCCTTCCCGTGCAAGGTTTACTTTTTATTATACAGCATTACACTAATATTAAACATTATTACATTGTTCAACATTAGATGAATTTGTCAAAAGTGTTTGTGTGTGAGTGTGTGTTTGTGTGTGTGTGCCTGTGTGCATGTGTGTGTAGGATGCATAAAAAGGATATGCATACAACAGGAAGAATTAAGCTCAATTTTTTGCTTAAATAAATATTTTATACTTGTTAATATAATACTTAATCTTCAGGCTGAGGATTATAAATCCATGAAGGGAAATTGAGGAATTCAGACTTAAATAATTGCCCTTGAGGTGGAATTTAATCACTGCATTTTGAGATATATAAAATATACTACAAAGTGTGAGATAGCTCTACAAAATTTTTATTACATAAAGTCATTCAAATGAGAAATACCTCCTAGATTCGCAAACTGTAGTATATATGTCTAATAAAAATTACTCTTAAATCTTACATTTCCCCTTTGAGACATTTATTGTTCCTGGAGAAAGCAGCATTTTTTTTCTTATTCCTAAATCTGTCTTCTATTAAACTAGAGGGCTCTATAAATCAGTAATAACCTTTCAGATAACAACCTCTTCATAATTATGTCCTTCAAATGCAAGGACATAATTGTTTACATATTTTATACAAAAATAAATAGGAGAGAACATATGTTCCATTTGATTTAAGGGAGGTATAAAGATTTAGGTTATTTTTCAGCATTTGTGAGGTTTGGCTTTACAGTCTTTTATATTACATTTGGAAAAAAATTATCTCACACAGAGAAACAAATACGTCAGATGATGCTATGCAGTTCTAAAGGAAAAACATGTATTGCCAGGTAGGAGCTGATACAGATTATATCAATATATGGCTTTCATTAAATATAATGCTCTACATGACTCAGTATACCATGCGTGTACTATGACTATGATTTTAACTATCTAATGGGTTAAAAGGAATGTTTGGTTTTAGTCAAATCGAGCTCTGAGTATCTTTCTGATGCTTTGGCTGTATTTCTCAACAGGAAGTGGGTAAACTTCCAAACAAGAATGATTTCAGATTAAGAAACAACACCAGCATCTCGAAGGCTCTCTGTTTGTATAAAGAAAGGACAGCAAACAGAGAGGCCCGCGGCTGTTTTCCTAGATGCCTGCTCTGGGTGCCAGGCATCTGTGTTCATTTAGATGGTGTATGTGTGAGTAGGTAGGTGAAGGGCGGGGGAGAGAGGAGAGACAGATCTCAGGTTGCAGTTCTGAGTGTGGTCTCTGATACAGAATGAAACCTCTGCCTGGTGCCTCTTAAACAAGACCCTCATCTGCTGGTCTCTCCAGAGAAGTAATTTCACCAATACCAGCTGCAAGGGGAATGTTTTGTGTTTTCTTTATTCAAAGTGAAAGATGTTAAGCAGAAATTTTCAGAAGCACTTTTGTTTGGAAGAGGGGAAAGGAAGATCGTGGAAACTGGAAAACATCCATGAAATTAGCCCTAAATCATGGCCAATGCTGATCATTTCCTGACAAGCTGTCTATCAACCAAGCCACAACAATAGTTTATTCAAAGCCCTCTGGTGCTAACAGTGATAGAGCATTGTTAATTGAATGTTGGTACAATGGTGGATATTTTTAAATTTTAACTTTCATAACTGCAGTAGTGGCTAGAACAGCAGTTTACTATCAGGAGTTCCCAAAACACATTGTTAATGTCTCTCTTACAGATTGTATTAACAGGATTTAGAAGAATATCAGTTTAAAGTAAACGACCTGAGAGCTTATTTGACTCACCTAAGAGCAGTGAAAGAGGAGAGAACAGAAATTAGAAATGCACTCAGTTATGTTAGCCCCAAATTTGGTATTTATTTATGAAAAAGTCTATCTAAATATAATGTCTGTAAGTAGGAGATGGAAATGAGCTAATTTGGCTGCTTGATTTTATTTACTCATAATTCATAACCAAAAATTCTGGTTGCCTTTAATTGTATTTATCTATAAAATTTCACAATATTCCTATGGCCTGGAATATCATTAGAATATTCTTCCAATGCTATATTCTCCCACCCTGTCTCCTTCCCTCTTGCTCTTTCTCCACCCCCTTCTCTCTCACTATCTCTCTGAGTCTTCGTAGCTCTCACTTACCTGACCTTCTGTGACATATTCTGTTCTTAAACTTGAATTGGTCAATGTTGTGATTCTAACACCCATGTCCTAATGCAAGAAGAGGGCGTACCAGATTCAGGGGTTAACTTTCTGGATGTCATGTCTGCTTACAGAAAAATGATTTGTATTCCCAACTTAGTGTCAAATTATCCATTTATGAAATTATTGTAGGGTGTGAAACTCTTCCTCCTAAGCCCTTCTCAAGGAAAAAAAAATCTTTTTATTAACTGGACTAAAAAGCTACTTTAAGAAAAGCTCCCAAACTGAACAGTAGTAAGAACATTTCAAATTTCTTAGAATGCTGTGTTTCTAGGTTTTCATGTAATCAGAATGCTTAGGAGAAGAGAGGGAACATTTATTAAGTATTTCACATATTTTGAGAATTATTTAAAATGAGAAACAGACTCACCTGGGTAACATTTTGCCTTGAAAATTCACTGGCCTGAGTTTGTACACCACAATGCAAAAGATGCATAAGGAACTATTTATGCATCTGAATTCTTTCTATTCTAGTATTTGACAACTGCTACGAGAGATTTCTTCCTGGGTGTAAAGGAGTTTCTTCCTAAGGGCTCCAATAAAATCTGTTGGCATGTTTTGCAATTTGAGTCTTCCTGTTACTTTGTCTTATTTCATGAGCCAGCAAGCACATATCTGTCCAGAACCACAGGATTCTCACAAAAAGTACAGAACAAAGATCCAGTACTCAAGGAGCTTAGCATGAGGTTAGGGGGAAGAAAAACTAATAAATGTAGGAAATAAATGGAGATCCTACATGTTTTGAAGAACAACAGGAATGGTTTTGTGAGATTAGGTGAGTAGAAAACAATGACATAGATTGGGAAAATAGGTTGGCTTATAAGGCTAACATTCAGGAGAGCCCTAGTAGTAGAGAAGAAGGCAAGGAAGATGTGTAAAATAATGTTGCACACGTGAGAAAGAATCAATTAATTTACTACCTTGAACTTAATGCCACTGTAGATTCTTGAGCATGGGGTGACATGAGGAAACAGGTGTTTAGGAAAATTATTCTGACAATGATATTGGAGGTTTGATAGGAAACGGTCTGGAATGTGGAGCTATATCAGGCAGCTGTTGGAGTGATCCACAGTGATCAGACTTGGGCTGAGGTTATGGCAGAGTTAATGAAAAGAGCCCAATCTTGAGGATGCTTTGAAGAAACAAACAATGGTCTGTCCATATCACAGACTAATTATAGGAGAAGGACACTGATAAATTGTCCAAGGTGACATCATGATCTCAAGCTTGCAAAACTGGAAGAATGCTGGTATTACCCAGAGAAATGAGAAAGTTGATAACTCTGATAGGAAATGCATTTTCTAAAAATTGTAAAATTTTTTGAGAGTATTGTAGCTTCAGTTAATATTTATATATATATTTTAAAAACATTCTAGGCTGGGTGTGGTGATTTACACCTATAATCATAGCACATTGAGAGGCCGAGGTAGGCAGATCACTTGAAGTAAGGAGATCAAGAACAGCAGGGTTTTACCAGTTCAAGAACATGGTAAAACTCTGTCTCTACTGAAAATAGGCTGAGGCACGACAATCACTTGAACCCAGGAGGCAGAGGTTGCAGTGAGCGAAGATTATGCCACTGCACTCCACACTCCAGCCTGGGTGACAGAGTGAGACTCCATCTCAAAACAAAACAAAACATTCTAATGCTCTAGCATTCCTACTTCTTAATATACACCATAAATCATTGAAAGTAGAGATTTGAACAGATATTTATATATCCATGTTCACAGAGCACCATTATTCACAATAGCCGAAAGATGGAAACAACCAAAATTGACAGATGAAGGAATAAACAAAATGGGGTATACACGCACACACACATGAATATTATTCACACTTAAAAAGGAATGGGCCAGGTATAGTAGCTCACACCTGTAATCCCAGTACTTTGTAGGCCAAGCCTGGTGGATCACTTGAGCCCAGGAATTCGAGACCAGCCTGGCCAACATGGTGAAACCTAGTCTCTACACACACACACACACACACACACACACGCAAAATTAGTTGGATATGGTGGCACATACCTGTAGTCCCAGCCACTCAGGAGGCTGAGGAGACAGGAGGATCACTTGGGCCTGGGAGGTCAAGGCTCCAGTGAGCTGTGATCACACCACTCCACTCCAGCCTTGGCAATAGAGTGAGACCCTGTCTCAAAAGAAGAAAGGAATGAAGAAGCCCTGATGCATGCTAAAACATGGATGAAGCTTGAGGGCATTCTACTAAGTAAAATAAGCCAAATACAAAAGGACAAATATTGTATGATTCCACTAATATGCGGTACCTATAATAGTCAAATGCCAAGAGACAGGAAGTAGACAGTTTATCCGGGGTTGGAGGGAGAGAAGAATGCAGAGTTACTGTTCAATGGGTAAAGAGTTCGGTTTGGAAAGATGAAAACATTCTGGAGACAGTGGTGGTGACAGTTGCAGAGCAAAGTGAAAGTACTTAATGTCACTGAAATATATACTCAGAAATGGCTAAAATGGTTAAGTTTATGTTATGTATATTGCCAAATAGAAAAATGAGTGTCATAAAGAAAGACTGTGTAAACCCTGAGGGCAAACCAAATGAGTGCATCCAAGAAACAAATAGAATCTGTACACTTGAATTTAAACTTGGAACCTGCCACTTACAAGCTGTGTGTCTCTTTTTCTTGTCTGTAAAAGGGTGCAATAAAGAGAACTAAACGAAATAACAGGTAACACTCTCTTGTACTTGGTAGGTGCTCCATAAATACTAGTTTCCTTTACAATTTAAAAAAAATTACTCTTCAATTTGAACTTCTTCCCTGGACAGAATTAGACTTCAGATATATTACTGTGCATCTTTCATGCCAAACAGAGAATAACTTCAAAGAAGAGGTGCAGCAGCTGTCAGAGAACAAAGACATGCCTCATTCATGCAGGAAGGGTACCTCTTTCCTTATGCAAAGACTGAAAAACAGGAAAACACAGCAGTAAACATGAGGCTGCCTTTGACTGACAACTTCCCCTCCTGCCTGTGCCTCTTGCCCAAATCTCAGAAACATCTGTCACATACACTTCACTGTGTTTGGTTTTTATCTTAAAGAATCTTTATGACTAAGTAAACTAATAAGATGTGAGGAAACTTCCAAGTACTCAGAAAGCTGACAGCTTGCTCAGAAATGCCCAGATGATTTCAGTCCCTCTCAGTTCATTGGTAGAGAAGGAGGTTCAAGGGAGAAGTAAGACAATGTTATGTTAAAAAGCTACCACTGCCTCTGGTTAAAAATCAAAACTGGAAATTATCATAACTATTAGCGTGTGGTTAGAAAGGATTTTTTAAATATCATAAAAGTTACAAATACACTTAGATATTTTCATAACTTCTAAACATTATCATGTTCCTGGTTAATATAAGAAGGAATTTTATTTTAATCAAAAAGGATGTCAAAGCCAGAATCCACTGATGAGAAAAATACTTCCAAAAATCTAAATAAGTGACAAATCTCTCTGCTTTAAAAGAAATAAAAAAGAGATATCTCTGTAAAGCAGATGCAGCAATGCAAAGCAGGGTACGTGAATTTAGACGTTCATTACAGTTGTATACCAAACATCTTAAAAACTGCAGTAATCTCAGAGTTCCCATGTGCTGGAGCTGAGACCAGCATCCGGGGCTCCTAATTCCGACTTCAGTTTAATGTCCCATTGTATCCACTGCCACTCCAGGGGGTCACAGATCAGTCTTAAAACCTTTACAAACCACCCCCATATCCGATATTGGCGTAACAGATCCAAAACAAAGTAATCTGGACAATTTTGATTGTGATCCTCAGATGCCACCTCATCCAAAATAAACTTTACTGGCTCCGATTTCCAACTGACTGACAATCCACATCACACCTTCCAATGTGACCACATTTGGACTGGGCTTGTGGCTTGCATGTTAGTCACCCCCACTGTTGACCCCATGAATAATCACCTCTCCAACTGAAGTTCGGACAATAGGCATCCTACCTCCTGCTTTACATCCCAGGCATTGTAAAGAGACACCCCTGTGGTCTTAATTTCTGGAAAACAATCATTTACACTGTACAAAACTCAAAACTCTAGGGAGGCAGTTAAGTAATTTAATATTTTTGTTTTATGTGAAAATATTATTTCTAGTTCATAATGGGAAGTTCAAAAACATTGTTTCTTATCATTAAAAGCTCGCAGAAGTGTGTAATCTGGGCTCTTTATAGTTATGTTCCCTATAAAATGCCCTGAGGAACAGAATACGGATCTTTCTACAAAGAAATGCCTTCAATATCTTTTGTTGTTTAAGGAAAAGGTCTTTAATTTAGAGCTGAATTAGTCATACAGATGAACACTTTAAAGTCCTTGGAATCTGCAGTTAGTTTAACAAGCTTTTAAGACAATGAGGAGTGTTTGTCATCTGTTACATTGTGATGACTGTGAATTGAATGTAGAGAGTATACAGGCTCATTCATTCCAGAAAGCTTTTTTCATGCGATTATGTTCCAGATTCTCCAAGGCAGTTGGACACACATGGATATGGCCCTCAAGGATCTTACAGCCAAGTCAGGGTTCTGTGCAGGATCAAACAGCATCCCCTCACAAAGCCCTAAACAATTCATGTCCACCCAGAACCTCAGAATGTGACTTTACTCAGAAACAGTCTCTTTGCAGATGTAATTAAGGCATACATTAAGGAAAGGTCATACTGGATTAGGATAAGATGTAAGTCCAGTCATTGTCATCCATACGAAAAGAGGAGAGGGCACAAAGACATAGATATACACAGGCCATGTGCCTGTGAAGATGGAGGCAGAGACTGAAGTGATATAATTACAAACCAAGGAAGGCCACGCATTGCTGGCCACAGCTGGAGCTACAAGCAGCCCCCTCCCAGGAGTCTTTGAGGGATGGTGGCCTGCCAACACTTTGACTTGGTACTTCTAGCCTCCAGAACTGTGAGAGAACAGATTTCTGTTGTTTTAAGCCACTCGGTTTGAGATAATTTGTTACAGCAATCCTAGCAAACTAATATAGGCTCCATCTTCAAACAGTCTGATTTAATTGGCCGGGGGTAAACCTGGGCATCAGTATTTTCATGAAAGCTCCTTAGGTGATTCTAATGTTTTAGGACTATCAACTCTAGATCGGTGGCTTTCAGACTGTTAGCATCAGCATCAACTGGGAACTTATCACAAATGAAAATTCCCTGGCCCCACACAGGCTTCCCAATTTGAAAATTCTATGAGTAGGGCACAGCAATTTGTAGCTTAACAAGCACTCCAGGTCATTCTGATGTTTGAGAACCATTGTTCTGGTTGATAGGGGATCCAGGAAGTGATGGAAAATAATCAGTGAACAGGAATGGAGCAAAGCAATAGGCAGGCATATTTTAGAAAGTAAGAGTAGTGTGTTCATGTGTTCTCCTGGTGGCCCTGTGACAGTACATCTGGAAACCTCAATATCATGCTTGGTGTTGCTTAGAGGTATGTTACCAATCAATCATCTTTCAAGTGCAATTTTTGAAGACACACTGTTTTCAAATGTGCAGGCGGCCCTGACAATTTTGTTGCTATTCCGGTCTATAGTAACCCAAACTCTACATTAAGATTGTATCTGTACCCATATCCCAGGAGACAGAGAAGGAGAGCAATCTGAACACCTGAGATGAAAACTTCATTGAGGCCAACTTCTTTTCACTTTAATTATTAGAAAACTGGCTCCATTTGCCACTTCTTTTACCCACAGCCTGAAGAACAAATCAGGCCAATACATTTCATTCTGGCATGGAATTATGCTCTTTGCCAGAATCAAGCTATGTGAGGCTACAGTAACCACTAAGGATGGGGTAATTGGAAACTGTGCCCCTTGATGAAAAGCCTTGGTAAAATCCACATGGCTAGCAGTTGATAGAAGAGAAAATATTAGATGTTATTTTTTTTCAGAGATGAATGGTTTAAGAATCCAGTTTAAATATTTTTATTTGTTTGCTTGATTTTCATGCATCTGACCTCAAGCAGAAAGCCTTCCCTGGCAGCACTGACAAGATTCTTTCTCAAGTTGCTTGCATTGTAGTCACATATTCAGCTCAACTTTCTCTTATGCCGTTATGGTCCCAGTATTACATTGTCAACTTAAGGTACCATTTCCATAAGCATTAAGGTAAAAAGACTAATTTTTTTTCTAACTCCTTCTCTTACTTGATCCAGATTTAGAAACTGCCCTGACAGAAAGAATTAACTTCTCATTTTTAACAAGTACAAGAGAAATTATTAAGTAGACCAAGTTTGTCTTTGAAGTCCCTTTCCCTTTCTTTTTGGGGTATTCATCCCACATGCCTGGTGCCTACAAGAAGACCCATAATTGCTCAGGGACTCCCATCTAATTGGAGTGGTCCCTCAGTTTTCAGATTTTCTTCTTCTGTCATGCCTCATAGTACATTGATCTTGTGGATTAAGAAGACCATGCTCTCTTTTGGTTAACATCAGAGATGATGGGTTGATGTTTGCTATTTGTTAATTAGCTGAGGTTACTCTTACTAGATACAATAATATTTTAACCCACATGAAGTACAGAGATGTCTTCTTACAACGGGAAATTGAATGATAAGAACAGCAAGCTCTTGCAGTCATAGCTTGGGGACATCTGCCTGGAGTCCTTACAGAGTTGCCCCAACTTGTGGTAGCTCATTGATGTCAAAATCAGCTAGTGTGATTGTTAAATGAAATGTAGACTCTTGCATTCCACCCCAGACCTTCTGAATCAGAGTTCAGTGGTGGGAACTCAGAACTCTGAATTTTAACAACTCACCTGATTATTTTTTGGTACACTGGAGATTGAGACTCTCTGGTATCATGGAAGGATCCCCAGATTCAGAGTTAGGAGGCCTGATTTTTAGTCTCGTCCTCACCATGTGCCATGTATCCTGGGCAATTTGTGCCTCTTGTTTTGGAATTTAATTCTTTTATAGTCAAATGCAGCTAAGAATACTTGCCTTGTATTGTCCACCTTAGAGAATAGTCGTGAGACTAACATGAGTTAAAGCCTCAAAAGTGCCCTCTGTACTACAGGGCTGGCACTAGAGTGAGGTGAGTAGGCCACTTGACTTGGGGCATAAAATTAAAGGGGGTCCCAAAAAACTCATAATCAAGATAAATAATGTTTTAATGCAATATTTTAAAATCAAAATTAATGCATAAAAGACTATAATGAACAAAACATCATCAACACTTGTGATATTTTGGGTTAGTGTTACTGATTTTTTTCTTTCTGCCTCAAACTCAGTATAGCATGGCATTGTTACTAATACGTATTTTAAAATTTGATGTGTTTACTGTAGATGTTTTCACATTAATTTTTATTTTTAAAAAGTGCTTCCATCAAAATATTATTTTCTTCATTAATTGATTACTGTGTGGTACTCCCTTAAAATTTACACCTGTGGTTAGTAACTTAACTGGTCTCTCCCTAGTCCCAACCCTATAATCTAGAATAGGTTGTGCAGATGAAGGTTGTTGTTTTTACCAGGGATGGACCTGGTTTCCTCAAATAGTTGCATGCACACATCAAAATCCCTGCTGGCATCCTAGCTAAATTCTGCCTGTTGAATGGTGGGAATGTGGTCCTAGGAACATAAGGCAGGTATAGGCATGCGCACAGTGCTTTTCAGGAGCCTCCCTTCCCAGGGGCACAGGAGAAGAACTCTTATTGGGATATTTGGTATGAGAACCTGTTTAACTGGTGTAACTGGAAAATTTGCCTTTGTTTAAGGGAGAACTCCTCCTGCAACTACACACCCATCCCAGAAAAGTTTAAATTTGCAAGTTGCCTCATATGTAGTTTGTATTTCAAAGCTATTATTGTATACCAAGGCTAGCAAGTCCCCTTGTGCTGAAGGCAAGAATTGGTGCCCCCCAGGCTGGGTAACTGGTAACCAGGGAGTGGAATGATTAACAAGAGGCCTGAGGGTTTGGGAGGGGGGTGATCTACTGAGCAGAAAGAAGCCCCTGCTCTTTCGTTGCTTTTGATTTCCCCACCTCACTCAAGGAGGCAGCTTAAAATCCAGTAATTAGAAGACACAGGGCCAGGTAGAACAAGCCCCCTCCTCCCCTCCTGCCAGCCTGGAAGGTCTAGGATAATGCCTTCAACTTCTCTTATAGAACCCCAACATTTGTGCAGTGTTTGCTGTACAAGGAGGAAAAGTGGAAAGAAAGCATGGCATAAAAAGGGGGAAGACACCCTGCATGAGAAGCCCAGCTCAGCAGGCCAGAGGACCGTGGATCTGTGACAGTAAGCATCCAGCCTTTGCAAAGCAGCAGGCAAACTTAGAGATGCCCAACTTCAGAATGACAGCAGAGTAAGCCTGGGTCTGCAGGTAAGCAGAGGACAGCCACAGGAGGAAAAAAAAAAGGTAGAAAACAGGGCCGGGCGTGGTGGCTCAACGTTAACTCTCTAAGACTTTGACACTAGATACTAAAACTACAGACAAACAACATTGTGACATTCTCAACTGTGATCTTTACGTGTGATATTTTCCTTTCTTCCAATGCTTCCCTGGTCCATACATAATGATTTTTAGAATAAAGTGTTATATGATTTATCACATATCTGAAAGACCTTGGTGGCTGTGGTAAGCTAAACAATGTCCCCTCACCCTCCACAAAAAAATCCACATTGTAATCCCTGTACATTGTTAATATGTTGGCTTACAGAGTAAAAGAGATTTTGCATATGTGATTAAGAATGTAGAGATGCGAAGAGTAGCTTAGTTTATCTAGGTGGGCCCAAAGCAATCACAAGGGTCTTTATAAATGGAAGCAGGAGGCTCAGAGTGAGTAGGAGGAGTGGGGAAGATCAAAGAAAGAGGCTGGAGGGATTGAGGAAAGCTGAAAAGGTCAGGGAACCCCCTGAAGCCTTGAGAAGGAATGCAGTCTTGCAAACACCCATGTTTTAGGCTTCTGACCTCCAGAACTGTAAAATAATCAATTTTTCTTGTTTTAAGCCACTAAGTTTATGGTGATTTGTTATAGTAGCAATCAATACAGTTGGTAATGGGTTATCAATGGTCATTGTGACTTTTAAAAAATTGTGCCTAGACTTAACAAGCAATGACCTTGTCTTGCAAGTAATTTGGTGGCCAACGTTCAAAGCTGGCAGAACATTTACTTAGCTGTGTGTCTGGAGGACCTCGAAGTATGTTTGAACTGAACATGGTATAGTGCACAGGCCTGACACTTTGGCAGCACCCGGGTCAGTGCTATATACTATGAGGCATTTAATAAATGCTTTTCGTCAGTCTTAATAGGAATAACAACTGACTGTGGGTTATGGTGCTCCCATTTCCACCAGGATCTAAATCCAATTTAGAAAGTTGGATTCCAGAAACTTGAATCATGAAATCTAATATTTGCAGCTCCACCTCAAGAAAAAAGAAGTGGGCAAGGCAATGGAACAAAGATATAAATGAGTAACTTTTCTATATGGTGACAGGATTTTTAAGGCACCCAGTGATGCCAATGAAATTGAGTCATTTGGAAGAGTTAGGATTTGGGAGGCACTTTTTGGTAAGTGAGTGGAATAACTCCTTGTCAGTTCCATGCTGGCTTCTGCATCTACTTGTGGCTGTGCCCTTTCTGTTCGTAATGGTTATGTCACTGATGTATTTATACTTTCCAGTGGACTCTGAATCAACAAGGTTTATATACACAGAGATAATTCAAATTCATAAAGCCATGCCTATGATTCTCTTCAGATATTTACTGACTTAGAATGAGGCACATGTAGCCACACTTAGCATTTTACCTTACAGTTTCTGGCTCTCTTCTCTGGTTCATATGAAGAGCTGCTCATTCGTCTTCACAGTTAGAGAGATGCTACAGTTTAATATGCCTTTGAGAAAGAACTTCACTCTATAGAGAGTTAAAGTAATTGTGGTGAAGATGAAGTTGAAAACAGGCGTATGATTTTCAGATTCCTTTCTGAGCAGGGACCACAGGCAGGAAGAAGAATGTACTCAGTGGCTAATATGAGTACACTCTGTAGGGCATAACCTCTGGACCAATTCTGCCAGTGATTCCATGCCACATTGCCACTTACTCTCTTTTCTTGGCCAACTTACTTAACATTTGTACCTCAGTTTTCTCATCTCTAAAATGGGGATGAGTGGATCTACCCCACTGGGTTGTTGTGAAGATTGAATAAGTTAATATGCATGAAGTATAATCAAATGATGCCTGGCCCACAGCATTTATTCTTCTTCACAGGTCCCTAACTCTTCCCACTGCTCCACTGAGCCCCCCACCGTCCTTTATGCCAGCACTGTGAAGATTGTTCTTGCCTCCCCTGCTGTCATTCGGTAACCTCTACAATCTGGCCCCAGTAGAAAGAACTTGCTAGCAACATATCAATAGCAGAAATGAAAGTCTGGTCATATGGTACCCACATCTATTGAAGTAGTCATGCTGATACCAGATATCCCTAGTTCTCTGTCTTTGAGGCACATGGTAGAACTATACTTTCTAGCTTTCTGTGTGGCTGGGTGGGTCATATAACAAGTTCAGACAAATGAGTTATGATTAGAAGCATTTAATTGTTAATACATATTCTAGTACTCTTTCCTTCTGCCACCATAACTTATAATGTTTCAGACAGTGACTTCTCCATCAGGCTGGTTCCAGAGTGAAAATAGAGTCTGAGTCTGTAGCTGATACAATATGGACATGTAGGGTGAATGAGAAAATGCTATTGTTGGGTTAAGCATCTGAGGTTTGATGGTTTGTTGCTACTGCAGCACAACCTTACCTATCCTAACTAATATCATTATCATTGACTAACCTGACAACAGAAGAGTCTCTCTACTTCTACTGTGATGAGGAACAGAGTTTTACCTATTAAATCTTAATATTAGATAGCAGCAACCTCTGGAAGTAGTTATATTGCTACCACTTCTTATCCATATGGCATAAAGCCAACTATTAAACCTCTCCAGGTTTCAGTTTTCCCTTTTAAAAGTAGGAGTGGCCGGGCGCAGTGGCTCAAGCCTGTAATTCCAGCACTTTGGGAGGCCGAGGAGGGTGGATCATGAGGTCAAGAGATTGAGACCATCCTGGTCAACATGGTGAAACCCCGCCTCTACTAAAAATACAAAAAATTAGCTGGGCACAGTGGCACGTGCCTGTAATCCCAGCTACTCAGGAGGCTGAGGCAGGAGAATTGCCTGAACCCAGGAGGCGGAGGTTGCAGTGAGCCGACATCGCGCCATTGCACTCCAGCCTGGGTAACAAGAGCGAAACTCTGTATCAAAAAAAATAAATAAATAAAAATAAATAAAAATAAAAGTAGGAGTAAGTAAGACCTTTCTCATGGAGTTATTGATCAAATGAAATACTTAAATAATGAATATTTAAATTTTGAATTTTAATGACAATTCCAATGAAATAATACCTATGAAGTATTTATTTAGTCCATAATATCTTCAGTAAACGATAGTTAGTCTTACTAACACAAAGGAAATTGACAAAGCCATGCCATGCTCAGTGCAGCTTCTAGGACCATGTTATCTCTAAATATCCCAACTTTCCGCTGTAAGTTTGAGCTAAAGATTAGTAGATAATTTGGCAGAACAGGCTAATCCATTCCAATGGCCTATTCTTCTTGTTAAGTTTAGCTATCAGTCATATTTTGATGAAAACGAAGTCAGCCTAGTTGTTTGTAAGCAAGCCTCTACAAAGACAGAAACTGTCTTATATTTCTTTGAATATTCTCTATGGCCTCTAACATAGCACCTTGGCTATATTTCTGGATTTTTATTTAATTGTTTTGAATGCTTCTTATGTTTAACTTCTGCCATCTCCATTAGGATAGCAACGTAATCCTTCCTTCAGTGCTGATGGCATAAGCCCCCATGACCGGGCAACATTTGCCCCATGTTTAAAGAACGCAGTTGTGTAAGGCTGGTTGACCATCTGACAGGAATTCCTGCACTGAGTGATCAGTCAGTGGTGATCTCTTCCACTGGTAACTTTATACGAGTCTGATATACGAGACTGTATATCAGGTATATTTTCATGTGTGAAATCAAGGGATAGAAAATAACTGGAAGGAAATATTCCAAAATGTTAGCAGTTGTTTCTCCCGGAAAGTGTGATGTATACAGTTGGATGGGTGACATATATAGTACTTTCCATAGTCCTGGTCAAGAGATATTTTAAAGGGCTCCACATACCACAGTCACCCACAAATAAATATATTAAAGACCACACAGATGCCTTTATCACTCAGGAAGTGGCACCCAGAGCTGGCCCAGCAGTCTATAATACTTAACATCACTCTCATGACCACACTCTTCAGGTCCTAGGGAAATGGACCTCTGTATCACTTCCCTGTATCCTTAAAGGAAAAGGTGACCTAATTTGAGAGCTGATAAAAATCAGGAATTATGATGATGTTGCTTTAGAATATTTGGAGGATGTAAGAGAAAAAGATGCTGGGTTATGAGAATAACCAAACTTATAAAATTCCTCCCTGAAGGTAACATAAATGCAATAGATGCTTTTACAACAAAGTGCCATTTCTCAATAATGCCAAGAATCCCTTTTCATGCCTCTTTTCTTGTTCAAATTCCTGGTTCCTATGCTACTCCATTAGCATAATATTCAGAAAAGTTGTAGATGGTGATTTAGGAACATTTTGTGATATTAGCATTTCATATTAACCTTAAATTTGCATGTATGTATCATATGTGTATCATGGTACCAGTTCTTTATATTGGTAACTAGGTGGACACAGAATGTTTACAATGTGAATAATGTTATCTCTATAAAAATAACATGCAATTAAAGTGTTAATATATGAAATAAAATTTTGGCATATATTAACTATAACTTATACCTTTTAAAGTTAATAGATTATTTTGAATATTTTAAAAGACTTTTAGAAACATATAAAATAACTTTTAGATTTTATTTTTGTATTTAATTTATATAGTCTAATTAAAATATGTTTACATATACTTTCAATTTAATTGCAGTTTCTAAGCCTTCAGAGAATTACAATGAGTTAAAAACAAAATATGTAAACATATTGATTATAACAACAAAGTAATTTTTCTGAAATAAAGGCAAGAAAACTTAATTGATGGAACAAATACAAATCTATGTTATGTAAACACTTTATTACTTATTTAACTATCACGACCCTTAGACAGAAGAACCAGATGTGTGCAATAATAACTTTAGCAGACATTTTGCCAGCCCTCAGACATACGAAAACTATAACTTCACATATATCCTTTTCTTTTTGTCACTATAAGGGTGTATTTGTCAAGCTAGGAGTATAAAATATATTTTATAAACCGGTTTATAATAAAGAACTAAAATCCCTTCCAAGTGTCAACTTCAACAATCCCCTTGGGTCTATTTTTTCAGACTGGAGGGTCCATTCAGTCTCCCATGCCAGATAAAATAACAGATCAAAGCCCCCATTACTGTCCCCAAATGGCAGTGTCCCTGACCTCATGGCAGGAGAGAAAGAAGGCAGCCTGGAGGAAGTGACTGATTCACCATGAAACAGTGGTTTTGCTGAAACAGAGACCTCCCAGCATCTCCAGACCAGCATTACAAAGTACTTTAAGAGCCAGTTCTACAGGAAGAGGGCCAATTATGTCCCCAGACTGACTTGGTACAAAAGAGTAGAAGAAAGATACAACCATGGGGAAAGTTGAGCCCTACAAATAATGTCTCTTGTGGTGAGTTTCCCTTAGTTTCCTCAGCCCCAACACTCAGATATGCTTAAGATAAAAAGTTCTTGAACTTGACAGACAGTTGAGAGCACTGGTTGTCTCAAGAGCAGAGATTCCTTGGAAATGATAAGGTGCAAACTTTTTCAAATGGCTCTCTTTGCATCCAACTGCAATCTCCAGCCATAATCTGCCAGGACCAGCAGGGGCAATCTGCCAGTACCAGCAGGGGCAAAGCTCTGAGGCATCCCTCAAAACACCAGGTTTCTGCTGTCTGAGGGCTCCCTGGACTTCCTAATGACAGAGACCTCGTCAGCCTAGGTTTGGGATGTGTTTTTTTAGAAGGAATCTCCAGGCACAATACTCAGAGAAACAAGCAGCCAGCGAAGAAGGTCGTATGGCCCCTATTGGGAACGTTACTAAGCAGGCGGCCCTAAGATGAAGACAGCTGGGCTTCTCTGTTTTTTTTTTTTTAATCTTCTTTCTCAAAGCTTAACTGGAGAAGCCCTGCTAAAGCCAGGGGTGGACCCTGGATGTGTATCTTCTTCTGGGACTATGCTGCTGGGAAGTGTCTCCCTTGAGAGAAATTATAAATGTTCTGGCCTCCTCAGAATTCCAGATTGATTTTAAGGGGACAGTGCTGGATTCTTACATAAAGCGCGCAGTCAGAAATTGATCTGGGAAGCTGGACTTAATTCACGAAGACAGGATTACTGGATACTGAAGAAATGAATGCTGCCCAGACCTCACTGAAGGCTCACACATTTGAGAAAGCCTGGCATACTCTACCCTGACTTGCCATGTGCACGTATTCACAAAACGTCCAAGGTCTGGCACTATGAGTGTTCAGGTTATTCATTGCGGCCTTCATTTATCAAAAACTTATTTCAAGTTTTTGACATCAAATACTTAGTGCCTGAGGATTCAAACGCATGAATATGAAGAATCACAATATTCTTAAACCCTTAGATTTTTTTAGGTGTTTAAACAAGGCCAGGTTCTTCTCTAGGTGGAATAAAGTAAAATCCATTTTGACGGGGACGGAGGGTTTAAACAACTTCTCGCTGCCCCAGTCCATTGAAAACACTAAAATTTGTATTCTAAATTTTAATATGAAAATGTGGTCTGGCCTGATTTTCTTCCTTGCATTACTGCTTTAATCTAATCCTTCTGTAGCAGCATTCCCCAGCACAGAGGCTTGTACTAGTGAATGTGTTTGGGGAGTACAAAAGAGAGAAATACGGGCTTTGGAGTAACGTGTCTGCAAACCCATTTATGATAATGTATTGTCTTGGTCAGTGTTACCAAGGAGTACAGTTACTTCTCTGTGTGTGTTCGAGGCTTTTGATGTTAAAAAACACACGCTCTACCCTGTGGCTTTTCCACTTACAAGAATTGCTCAGGCCTTGTGTATTCCTTTCTAGGCCTCCGCTCACATTTGCCCCCGATGAAATGTCCTCCAGTCTCTGTCCAGCTCTGTTACTTGCTGTTGGTGCCCTATTTATATATCAAAAAACCAATAAAGCTGCCCAGGGGTACTGAGCTCCAATACCAAGAATTAAAAAATCACAATAAAATACATAGCTAATTTCTCCTGTTTTTATGTGTCAAGTACTTTCTGTTTCATTTTATATTCACAATCTTGGCCATTGTTCTAATG